TCTTCTGGAGAGTCCCTGCTCTCTGTCCCTCCGGCCTCAGAAGTGCGGCTGGCGGGAACGAGAGACAGGGCCTTCTCTGTGGTGGCCCCTCGGCTTTGGAACACCCTCCCTATAGAGGTACGATCAGCCTCTTCGCTGTTGGTCTTTCGGAAGAGTTTGAAAACATGGTTGTTTAGACAAGCATTCGGGTAACCCGTTGCAACCGAAGTGTGTTGACCAAGGACAGGTAGCTATGGACGACGAATTTTTTGGATTGTGTTTTTAGCTCGAGATGCATGGAATTATTATTGGTGGCCCAATAATTTTGTAATTTTGTATTGTATTTGCTGTTGTATGTTTTGAATTGATTATTGTTTTAATTGTTGTAAACCGCAATGAGTCGCCGACTTAGGCTGAGATATTAGCGGTATACAAGTGTATAAATAAATAAATAATAAATAAATAAATAAACTGCAACTCCCAAATGACAAAAGCAATTTCCCCCAACCCCACCAGTATTCAAATGTGGGCTTATCAGACATTTGTGCCAAATTTGGTTCAGTGAATGAGAATACATCCTGCATATCAGATATTTACATTACGATTCATACCAATAGCAAAATAACACTGATGAAGTAGCAGCGAAAATAATTTTATGGTTGGGGGTCACCACAACATGAGGAACTGTATGAAGGGGTTGTGTCATTAGGAAGTTTGAGAAACAGTGGTCTAGGGAGTCCTTTTAATATGACAAAATTATCCTGTGTCTCTATCTTTAGCCTTCTTGAAACTTTGTTCATTTATTTACAGCGTTTACCTTATTTATTTACAGCGTTTGTATACCGCTTTTCTCACCCCGAGGGGGACTCAAAGCGGTTTACACATAAGTAATGGCAAAAATTCAATGCCAGTACAAACAATTACAATTATACAATCATTATTATTATTATTATTACAATTATACACTACAATTAGACATAAATCAAATTAAAAATACATCCATGAGCAATCAAACAATCATTAAAACAATAAAGCAGTCTTGTCCATTGAATCGCCGTTCCAGTCATTGTCTTTCTGAAATGTTGCATACATTTACTTTTACTGCCCAAAGACCTGGTCCCAAAACCATGATTTTAATTTTTTTCTAAAAGCCAGGAGGGAGGGAGTGGATCTTACCTCATTTGGGAGTGTGTTCCATAGGCGGGGAGTCACAGCCGAGAAGGCCCTGTCTCTCATCCTCGCCAGGCGCATCTGTGCTGTTGACGGGAGCGAGAGCAGGGCCTCCCTGGATGATCTTAGATTACGAGGTGGGACGTAGGGGTGGATGCGTTTGGACAAGTAAGCTGGGCCAGAACCGTATAGAGCTTTATAGGTCAAAACCAGCACTTTGATTTGGGCTCGGAGATGGACCGGCAGCCAGTGGAGCTGGCATAGCAGGGGGGTGGTATGCTCCCTGTATGCCACCCCAGTTAGTGATCTGGCTGCCGTCCGTTGAACTAGCTGAAGTTCCTGAACCGTCTTCAAAGGCAGCCCCATGTAGAGCACGATGCAGTAATCTATTCGGGATGTAACCAGAGCGTGGACCACTGTGTCCAAATCAGACTTCCCAAGGTACGGGCACAGCTGATGCACGAGATTTAACTGTGCAAAAGCTCTCCTGACCACTGCTGAAACCTGGGGTTCCAGGCTCAGCGATGAATCCAGGATCACTCCCAAGCTGCGAACCTGCGTCTTCAGGGGGAAGTGTAACCTTAGTCTCTGGAATTCCATTTATGGCTGGCTTTCTTTTTATAGCCATGGGCATTCATTCATATGGATTTCCCCCCACCCCCTGCTTTAATGTAATGCACCATTGGGAAAATAAACTCAATTCCTTCCAGTCATGTCTTGGGGATCTTGATCCAAGTGGCCCTTTTGGGGGTCATGATAAAGTTTACATCCTACATTCCTAGCAGAGGTGCCGCAGGACGGCCAACCTTTTTGTTCTCAGTATTGTTTTCCTAGAGTTCAGCTCTCGGTTGTGAAACACGAAAGCGAGTACGATACAACATACAGAAAGGCAATCATGCAAGATGGAATGCAGTGTCTTCATGCTCCTCTGGGTTTAGACTTCACTCTGAATTATAGTGGAATAAAGCATATTGGTTGCTTCCAAATGCTTCCAAGACAGAAACACCTAAAGCAGTGGTTCTCAACCTTCCTAATGCCGGGTTGTTGTAGGTGTTTTTGGGCTATAGCCATGGTCTAGAGGCATTCTCTCCTCTAGAATGCCTCTAGAGGAGAGAATGCCTCTAAACCATGGCCATATAGCCCGAAAAAACCTACAACAATCCAGTGATTCCGGCCATGAAAGCCTTCAACAATACATCTTCCTAATGCCCTTAATAGAGTTCCTCATGCTGTGGTAACCCCCAAACATTAAAATTAATTTCGTTGCTACTTCATAACTGTAATTTTGCTACTGTTATGAATCGTAATGTGATATGACTGTAATCGTAATCGTAATCTGATATTCATGTATTTTCATTCACTGGATGTATTTTCATTCACTGGAACAAATTTGGCACAAATACCCGATACGTCCACATTTGAATACTGGTGGGGATTGATTTTGTCATTTGGGAGTTGCAGTTGCTGGGATTTATAGTTCACTTACAATCAAAGAATATTCTGAACTCCACCAATGATGGAATTGAAACAAACAGAACTGTTGATTTGGGAGTTGTAGTTGCTGGGATTTATAGTTCACTTACAATCAAAGAATATTCTGAACTCCACCAATGATGGAATTGAAACAAACAGAACTGTTGATCTGTTTGTTTGTTTGTTTGATTGATTGATTGATTGATTGATTGATTGATTGAGCTGTTTGAGGCATCATTTACATTTAATTGCATATTGTTTTGGACAGGAATAATGTTGAAGCAAAAATATGTTGAGTATCCATTTAATGACCCCACATTCCCCCAATTCCAGACGTATTTAGGGAAACATATAGTCCAGCAGTCTTATAGAAGTCACAAGTCCCTGGTTCCCACATTTCTTTTCTTCCTCCGTGTCTTCTTTCCTTTGTTTGTTGAAATGTTGATATTCCGTATCCAAAATGCTCCAAAATCTTAAATTGTGTGCATGGGTAGCTGGGATAGTGACATCTTTGCTTTCTAATGGTCCAGTGTACTCAAAATGAACAAATGTATTACACATACAGTAGGCTTGCTTATAATGGAAGCTTGCTGAATGTGCTGTCATATAAACAAGAGCTTTGAGTACCAAAGAATAACCTTTGAGAATTTAAAAAATGCGTAGAAAATTGTTCTCTTTAGTCTCCAGTGCTAATCTAAGTCTGAAGTTCCACTGAAGGTTCTGCAGGAAGTTGAACACAGAATCGCACTGGAGGCCTAGAGAGAACACTTCTCTAGGCATTTTCTAGGTCCTTCAGTGTGCTTCTGTGGTATGTGTAACGGATTGGCCTACCATAAAGGGTTGGTGTAAAAGGCAGAAAACAGGCCCAGCTTGCTAAAGCTATAGAAAGCTGAGGGGTATCAAGCAGCCTCTTAGCCAGAAGTGCAGTCTGATTGGCTGATGAAATTGGAGGGAAAAACTTAGTAATTGGAGATAGGCGGAGCCAGAGGAGAAGCAGCAGCCATTTTAAGTTCAGTTAGGAGTTTGGCAGGGACGAAGAAGAGTTAGGAGTTTTGAAGGAAGGAAGGAATAGAATTGGTAACTTTGTTATATGAAAGAACCTCTTTGAGGATAATAGTTATTAGGCCTCTATAGTGTTTAGAGTGCTGTAAGAGGAAGGGAAAATCAAAAGATCCTGTTTGGATCTCTGTGTTTGGAACTTTGTTTTAAGAATCTCAAGTTATAAGTACCATCCTCTGTAAGAAGTAAAACCCGATCAGTTATTTGAAACCATTACTCATATTGACTGTTCAAAATAAACAACATTTTCTTGTTTGGTTCCAACTGAAGTCTTCGTGTGGCTTTTAAACATTTCATTGAAGGAGGTGGCCTAAGAAATAATAAATTGGTGGCAGCAAAATAAACTTTTAATAAATAATTAGAGACAGCAAAGGCAAAAAATAAAAATGCAGTGGTAGCTCCCCACTGTCTGGTCTGGCCTTTTGTGTGTGAGGTGTTGCAACCCAGATCAGGAAACAAGACCACAAGATATTAATCCACCACACTTGACTGTAGGAAAAAACAATCCTTTTTTATTGATGAAAAATGGTTACAAAATAGAGGAAAATACAAAGTCCAAAAAGCCACAGAAGAATTCAGCAGTCAGGCATATCTATGAACTAGATCAAAATTCCAAAAGCAACACTATAAAAACCTGGAACCTGTTAGCATTTCACTAATCGTACTTGGAAACTAGAAGTCTCTGGGAATGCAGGCCATGGGAACCGGGAAATCTGCCAAGGTAATGCCTCAGTCTAAACGATGCTTGATCTAACGAGAGAGCCCGGGGAGAGACACTTAAAACTAAAGAAACTGTTTCGGGACACYCCTCCAGGCTTTGAAGCCTGTGCCTCCCTTTCCTTTAATCTGCTTGACCTTCGCAGACTCTGRYATTCACTCCTGTTTTTCCAAATCTGTCCTTTTKTATCCTCATTWWAAAAAGGCAGGTGCTAGCTCCTCTGGAGAGCTATCACCGCTTGATTCAGAAACATTCCCATCAGGATGCATAGTTTCACTTTCCAAGCCACTGACCTCAGAATCAWCAGTTTCCAAACCATCAGGGATAAATTCATGTTCAGTAGCCTGTTCAGTTGCATCAGGAAATACAATCAGAGAATCAGGTTCAGGTTCACACACAGGCTGAACCCCAARATGAGGGTCAAGCCTTGTCATTTTGTCCTTTGTCCTCCATCTTGTGTGTGGTGTTCCTGTAGTAATTTTTGCTCATCTTTGTTGCAGTATGCTTTGGAAGCCCAACTCACTGTTAATTTCTGGTAAAAAAAAATAGGGTTCAGATTACACAAAAAATGTGATTTGAATTTCATTCTGGTCTTTTCTAGGCTCCTGGATTCGGGTTTGGCATTGCAATATCTGGCGGAAGAGATAACCCCCACTTCCAGAGCGGTGAAACATCAATAGTTATATCAGATGTGCTCAAAGGAGGTCCAGCAGAAGGGCTGCTGCAGTAAGTGTAAAATCAAACTTCGGTTCAGACCGAGAGGCAAATCTATGCAGATAATTCAACTTCCTTCTTCAGTTTCTCTCCCATTGTTCCTTTTTGAGGTCTCTGTGGTCCAGACAATGACAAATTCATTGGGCCCAGGGACCAGTTTCCATCCCCTTCTCTTACCACAGATGTGCCCCCAAAACAATCGGAAATAGACTTCTACCACATCCGGTTGTGTAAAAACGCTATTTTCTGGAGCAAAACAAAAGTGTTGAAATTGTTCAGTTTGCTTTCCTTCTTTCTTTCCTTATCCCCCTCCCCCCATTCTAGGGAGAATGATCGTGTTGCAATGGTCAACGGTGTGTCGATGGATAATGTGGAGCATGCTTTTGCTGTTCAGCAGCTGAGGAAAAGTGGGAAAAATGCCAAAATTGTAAGTGAACCTCTTTCTCTACCCCTAGCTTTGTGCGCAAGGGTCAGTTCCTTAAAAAAAAAAACTGTTTCTGGGCCGGATTTGCTCAGATGAAATGCAAACAAGCCTCAAGGGTGGATTCGATGACATTTATCATCTGACAGCTCAGAATTCTTTACATAACTTCTTGCTGAAAGATGGTTGCTGTGTGTAGACTGGGATCATTCTTAGCTTTTTTGGGGGGCGGGGGGAGAACAGCTGAGATCCCAAAGCAGGGCTTAATATCTAATTGGTGACATTGATGCTGGAATCGTCATATTTGCTGTGTTTAGGGGTACAGGATCCCACTAAAGTGGGGGAAGGTATGGAAGGATTTCTATGTGGGCCTGATCCAGCTTTCCTCAAATTTGTGCATTGGACCACAATTTTCTGAATGTTAGTGGACTTACTTATTTACTTAGGCAATCCCTCGATGGCCGAGTAGGATAGTCTTCCAGGATCAGTGTTCTGGTGGATCCGTAGGTGACTGTGGAGCCCTATTCTTGATCTGCATTGTCTCCTGCAGTGAGGGCATTGGTTTACAGGTGGAAGGCGGTCTCGGTTGGGGTTGGCTTGACGTGCCTTCCTCTTGGTACGTTTCTCTCTTTCACCCTCCATTCGTGCCTCTTCAAATTCTGCAGCACTGCTGGTCACAGCTAACCTCCAGCTGGAGCGCTCAAGGGCCAGGGCTTCCCAGTTCTCAGTGTATATGCCAGAATTTTTAAGGTTGGCTTTGAGCCCATCTTTAAATCTCTTTTCCTGTCCCCTTATATTTGATTTGCTTTATGTCATTTTGCACTGTTTATTTTATTTTGTTACTTTATGTATTTTGTTGTGATGTATTTTTTCTTATTGTTTTGTGTCGAACTTTGATGTAATTTTTTTTTGGCTTGGCCTCATGTTAGCCACCCCGAGTCCCCTTTGGGGAGATAGTGGTGGGGTATAAATAGATATTATTATTATTATTAGAAACACAACAAGATAAGTCCACAGCAGACACTCTGCTGTCTGTTGAATTGGATCACACATCGGACACTTCCCAAGTGTCTAGGACTGTGTGATGTATCAGCGAATAATGTGTGCAGATCCCAGTAAGGTGGCCTTCTGCAGCTGGCAGATGGTAATTTTGTCAGCGCTGATTGAGTTTAAGTGCAGGCCAAGGTCTTTAGGCACTGCACCCAGTGTGCCGATCACCACTGGGACCACCTTGACTGGCTTGTGCCAGTCTTTGCAGTTTGATCTTCAAATCCTCATATCATGTTAGCTTTTCCAGTTGTTTCTCTTCAATCTCTCTTCAATCCTGCTGTCACCTGGGATTGCGACATCGATGATCCATACTTTGTTTTTTAACACGATTGTGCGGTCAGGAGTATTATGCTCCAAAACTCTGTCAGTCTGAATCCGGAAGGCCCAGAGGAGTTTGGCGTATTCATTTTCTATAACTTTTTCCAGCTTGTGATCCCACCAGTTCTTTGTCACAGGCAGATGGTCTTTGTGGCAGAAGTTCCAATGAATCATCTGAGCAACGGTGTTGTGCCTCTTCTTGTAGTCTGTCTGCAAGATCTTCTTGCAGCAGCTGAGAATGTGATGTAATGTTTCATCTGCTTCCTTGCGGAGTCTACATTTGGGATCGACTTTTCAATTCTGACTTTGATGGCATTGGTTCTAATGGCTTGTTCTTGGGCTTCCAGAATCAGGCTCTCCTTTGTCTCCTTTTTCAGAGTTCCATTTGTGAGCCACAACCATGTTTTTTCTTTGTCAATTTGGCTCTCAATTTTTCCCAGGAACTGTCCATGGAGAACCTTCTTTTGGCAGTTTTCTCTTCTGCTCTGGATATTATTATTATTATTCTGCATCCACCTCCACTGAGGTTTAAAGCAAACTGCTAACATTGAAGACCAAAAGCATCCTGATAACAAAATGGAGTCTTGAGTCTGAAGATGCTGAGTACACGTTTGTAGCCCCTCCCACACCAAAGGGGTCGGTCAAACTGGTAAATCAATATATACATACAATACAGGTTAGCAAATATATACATTAACAAACAGGTAGAGAAAGTTTGGAAGGTTGCTGTTTCCAACAATTTGTAGTGCAAAAAAATGAAAGAATAATACAATATTTAAAATAAAGAACAATTCTAACCAACATACACTTACCAGTATTTCCGTGGGAAGTGTGGGCCTGCTTTTGGCTGATGAGATAGTCAAGTTACTTAGCATTGTTGTTGTTGTGTGCCTTCTAGTCTTTTCAGACTCAGTGCGATTTGAAGTCTGGAGTTTATGGCAATAAAGGACCTTGGAGGGACACATGCGGCCCAAAGACCTTAGTTTGAAGCTCCTGCTGTAGCGCATAAATTCTTGGAGCTGCCATCCAGTGTCCTGCTCCCTTTCCGACTCTTTTCCCCCCCACAGACGGATGACTAAAGGGTCACAAGGTAGCAGCCATCTCTGAGTGGGAGCCTCGGATGCACAGCCTCCTCCTTGCTCTCCTTTGACTCTCTCATCATGTTCAAGGCAGAGTTAAACCGAGTGTGTCAAGCACCCTGAGTATTGAATGCTGTTCCTTCTCCCCTCATGCATCAACAAACAGCGGTTGCTTCATGTTCAGCATATGCCATTTGCCACCGCACTGTGCAATTATATTGATTCCTGCTATTCTTTGAGGCACACACTGTTTTATAAATAACATTTTTTTTCTTAAATCTACAAAACAATGTTTCATCAGCAGTGCATATTCTATGTTGTCATAAACAATAGCAGTTTATTGCTTGCAAAAAATTGCAAGATACTTCTGTTTTCAGGATGTGTTCTCTCTTCTTTAAAATTTTTCCTCCTCCTTGTGTAGTGCTTGATCCCATGTCCTAGTATGTTTTCCCCTTGTTGAACGTGCAGATTTTACCCACTCTCATTCCCCAAAATCCTTAAAATTGATCCAGGGGGATCATCCAGCCATCCCAAGTGTGTCAGTATCAACAGAGATGGCAGACTTGACTTATGTCAGTGTGAAGAGAGATTCTCTCAGAGTATTAATGGCTGTGAAATAAGGTCCTTATCATGTCTTACCTGCTGGCTTCCCTAGCAGGTTCCTCTCATTTACCGTTGTTATAAAAGGTGTTAAAATGGCTTGTGAGAGACGTTTCAGTGTCTTGAAGCCAAAAGAATCTCCAAAATACTGATATTTTGTCAGAGGAGAAATAATCATAGAATCATAGAGTTGGAAGAGACCTCGTGGCCATCCAGTCCAATCCCATTCTGCTAAGAAGAGGGAAAATCACATTCAAAACACCCCCAACAGATGGCCATCCAACCTCTGCCCCATCTATAGTGTTGCCCCCACTTTCCCCCACCCTAAACTAAAGGCTTCCCCCACTGTTTTATCCTTCTTGGGCTCCCCTCACTTACACATTTTCTATTCCCACCTCACCCAGGGTTTTATCATTTTATCTCGTCCTTGTAGCCTGCCCCATCCTGTTCGATTTTATATTGTGCAAATTTGCTTTATTGTTTTGTTTTGCTACTGTAACTATTTTCTGATGTGCATTTTGTATTTTATTGTCTTGTATTGTATTTTTTGGGCTTGGCCTCATTTTAGCCACCCCGAGTCCCCATTGGGGAGATGGTGGCGGAGTATAAATAAAGATTATTATTATTATTATTATTATTATTATTATTATTATTATTATTATTGACACAAAGGCATAGTATGTCACAGCAAACGAGATCCCTATGCTGGATTTCGTATCACAAAATCACAAGTCGAACACTTCCCAAACATCTAGGACTGCGTGATGTATTTTCAAATGATGCGTGCAGATCCAAACCAGGTAGCCAAACCAGATTGTGATTTTGTTGATATTTATTGTTTCCAAATGCCGGCTGAGATCTTTTGGCACGGCACCCAGTGTGCCAATGACCACTGGGACCACCTGTACTGGTTTATGCCAGAGCCTTTGCCATTCGATTTTGAGGTCTTGATAGTGGCTGAGTTTTTCCTGTTGCTTTTTCTCAATGCGACTGTCACACTTATGGCGACATCAATAATCCAGACTTTTTTCTTTTCCACAATTGTGATGTCTGGTGTATTGTGTTGTCAGTCTGGATTTGAAAGTCCCACAGTATTTTTGCATGTTCATTTTCCACAACCTTTGCTGCTGGCAGGTGGTACTTGTGACATAAGTTCCAGTGAATCATCTGGGCCACAGAGTTGTGCCTTTGTTTGTAGTTGGTCTGTGTGATTTTCTTGCAACAACAGAGGATATGATCCATGGTTTCATCTGCTTCCTTGCACAGTCTGCATTTTGGGTCATCCGCTGTTTTTTCAATCCTGGCTTTAATTGCATTTGTCCTGATGGCTTGCTCCTGGGCTGCAAGAATCAGGCCTTCTGCCTCCTTCTTCATGGTTCCATTCGTGAGCCATCACCAGATCTTCTCCTTGTCAACTTTTCCTTCAATCTTCTCAAGGAACTGCCCATGCAATGCTTTGTTGTGCCAGCTGTGGTTTGGAGTGCAGTTTTCTTGTACTGACTCTTTGTCTGCTTTGCTTTGAGAAGTTTCCGATTATTGACTTCAATTAAAGCAGGTTCTTGGCTTTCCTTATTATTATTATTATTATTATTATTATTATTATTATTAAAAGCTTCCAAAGAAGCTCCACCACACTCCAGGGCAGAGATTTCTACTGCTGAACAGCTCTCTCTCACAGTGAGGAAGTTCTTCCTAATGTTCAGGTGGAATCTCCTTTCCTGTAGTTTGAAACCATAAGAACCACGTTACTTAAGATTAATTCAATTTGATTTTCCAAATAATACTTTGGAGAGTCAGGTGTGCTCTATGGACTCACAGGCTCCTTCCCTCTGTGCCCCACAATTCTCTTTTTCTTCTTTCCATCTTCTGGGTCAAATATAGTCCAGCTTTGTGGGGATTTCTAAAATCTTAGGAAGTGGTTGTAAATTTCATTCCAAAGCTTGTTTGCAAACCAGTTGGTTTACATACACAGTTAGATTATGAATGAAGATACAACCGCCGAGTTAAGCCGGTAGCTGTGAACTTCTAGTTGGTTTTGTGCTACTTGGCCTGGGTTTCAACAAGATAAATCACCCCCAAAAGATTCCCCAGGCTACCAATTCAAAATCAGTGAAATCGCCAGAAAATGGTATTCAGAGGTAGACTACAGGTGATACGTTTGTAGACAGGATTTATGCCTTTACACTTGTTTAGGCGTTGAATGTTTGTCTGCTTTGTGTGTAAACCGCCTCGAGTCTCCTTGTGAAGAGGGCTGTGGCCCACATGGGGGTTCTATGTGGGAGGTTTGGCCCAATTGTATCGTTGATGGGGTTCAGAATGCTCTGTGATTGTAAGTGAACTATAAATCCCAGCAACTACAACTCCCAAATGTCAAGATTCTATTTTCCCCAAACTCTACCAGTGTTCACATTTGGGCATACTGAGTATTTGTGTAGAGTTTCGTCCAGATCCATCATTGCTTGAGTCCACAGTGTTGTTGTTGTGTGCTTTCAAATCGTTTTAAGACTTATGTTGACCCTGAGCGAGGGCCGGGTAAGTAACCTTGGAGGGCCGTATCTGGCCCCCGGGCCATAGTTTGAGGACCCCTGCTTTAAACTTTAAATAGGGGAACATGGATCCATCCCTTCCAGCCTGTCTTTGAAAGGGATGCAGAGAAAACATTAAGCGCATTGCCTACTACGCATTCCTATACCATTATTTGGAGTATGCTCCTCAGAATCACTGGACACAAAAAAACGGTCTTCAGTCATTCTGAAAGAAAGTTGAGTTGCACAGTTTTGTGACAGATTTGTAGCTCCACCATGGATTTTTTTCTTTGTTTGTTTTCATTGTTTTGATGGCCTGCCAAGAGCCTCTATTTCATGCCTATTGACAGATCTTCCTGGGCGAGGTGAAGTGACTTTCCACACCAGTGGTCTTGTCAAGTTCTAAAATATTGAGTAGCAACAAGGCCCATAGACACGAGCCTCTCTTATACACTTTGCATTTCCTCGTTTTTCCTTTCGAGTGGGGAGTCTGCTCCATTAATTATCATGTTTCGGATGGTGCCCTTGAATGTTCACTCTAGGTCTTGGGTAATTTTGTACTTTTGACACAAGTTAATCTGCCTCCTCGCCCAAATATGAAGCTTGTTGGGATTTCAGGCTTTACCATGACTATCCTAGTTCTTAGACCAGGCATAACAGGTGGAAATGTCTTGCATATTCTTCCTTGTTTCCTCCATCTCTCCGTCTGCTGTTTTCCTAGGTTGGATTTTGAGTTGTAAGCCTCTTGGGGCCAAGACCTATCCGTTTGTCCTCAGTAAGGAGTCAGATGTACTGATTGCATCATGTGTATGTTCCTTCAGGTTACTTGGAGACGTATGACAACTCTATGAATTTTTCATAAGGTTTTCTTAGACAAGGAATACAATAAGCCTTCCATTTTCGCAAGGTATATAGGGGCACTGGGCCCATGCAAAAATAGGAAAGGCATGAATTAAAAAAACCCAAGACAACATTTCTCTGAGAACCTCTATGTCAGGGGTCCTCAAACTAAGGCCCGTGGGCCAGATACGGCCCTCCAAGGACATTTACCCGGCCCTTTCTCAGGGTCAACCTAAGTCTGAAATGACTTGAAAGCACACAACAACATTAACAACAATCCTATCTCATCAGCCAAAAGCAGGCCCACAATTTCCACTGAAATACTAATAAGTTGATACAGTATTTGTTAAAATTGTTCTTCATTTTAATTATTGTATTGTTTTTAAGTGTTTTTGCACTACAAATAAGATATGTGCAGTGTGCATAGGAATTCATTCAGGTTTTTTTCAAATTATAATCCGACCTTCCAACAGTTTGAGGGACTGTGACCTGGCCCTCTGTTTAAAAAGTTTGAGGACCCCTGGTATAGGGGCACTGGACCCTTGCAAAAATAGAAAAGCCATGTATTAAAAAAAACAAAACCAAACATTTATTTAGCCAAGACAACATTTCTCTGGGAACCTCTATGTCTTCTGGGTTAACTCTGATCAGTGTCCATCAGAGTTGTGCTGGGGACCTAGAAGTTCCTAGAGACAACATATTAATCAAATCCATACAAACAAATCCTGCAGTTGTGGTTGGCCAACTGTACTCAGAAGTGGTTTTGCCAGTTCCTTCTTCTGGAATATCGCCTACAGCACCTCGTTTTCATAAGTAGAATCATAGAATCCTAGAGTTCGAAGAGATCTCATGGGCCATCCAGTCCAACCCCATTTTGCCAAGAAGCAGGAAAATCACATTCAAAGCACCCCTGACAGATGGCCATCCAGCCTCTGCTTAAAAGCTTCCAAAGGAGGAGCCTCCACCACACTCTGGGAAAGAGAGAGAGTTCCACTGCTGAACAGCTCTCACAGTTGGGAAGTTCTTCCTAATATTCAAATTGAATCTCCTTTTCTGTTGTTTGTAGCCACTGTTCCATTTTGTCCTCGTCTCCAGGGCAGCAGAAAACAAGCTTGCTCCTCACTATGACTTCCCCCTCACATATTTACACATGCCCTCATCATGTCTCCACCTTCTCTTCTTCAGGATAAACATGCCCAACTCTTTAAGCAGCTCCTCATAGAACTTGTTCTCCAGACCCTTTATCATTTTAGTTGCCCACCTCTGGACACATTCCAGCTTGTCAACATCTCCCAGAATTGGACACAGTATTCCAGGTGTGGTCTGACCAAGGCAGAATAGAGGGATAGCATGATTTCCCTGGATCTAGACACTATACTCCCCATCCCCCATCCAAGTGGCCCATCCAAGTAGCCCCTATCCAAGTATAAAGCTTCCAGAATAATAGTAATAATAATAAACTTTATTTATATCCCGCCACCATCTCCCCAATGGGGACTCGGGGCGGCTTACATGAGGCCAAGCCCAACAATACAATACAATAAAATCAAAATGCAAACCATAACATAATAAATTACATAAGGCATTTATATAAAAAATATTAAAATAAAATCATTCATAGATGTTCAAGTCCCATTATATACAATGGTGTAGTAAAATAGATTTGGTACCTTTTGGGTATTTATGCACCAATATCTCCCTTGGTTGTCCGAACTGTGTTTTGGTGATGTGTTTATACAATTCAGCTACAATTAACTTTTACGCTCTCATCTGTACTATTCTGAGATAACATCTGTAGTCATTAGTGGTTGTCTTTCTTGAATTAATTGCTTCCTCTTGACCACAGAATTGATTTATAGATTGTGTTAATTGTAAACAGGCATGCTTAAAGCTCTTACTGTTTATAAAGCGCTGGTCACTTCATTCCTGCCAAAGAAATGAAAAATATGGCGGTGGGTGGGAAGTCTTGTTATTTATTTATTTAAAAGTTTTGTATACCGGCCTTCTCACCTCTCTTGAGGGACTCAGACCGGTTTCCAACCATAATATCACATACAATCAATAAAACATCATAATACATATTACAGTAAAACATTAAAACAGCAATTACAATCAATAACTATAATGGTCAGTCGTCACACTAAAATCGTTGCTCATCATCCATCCATATTTCAGGGTGTTGACTCACTCGTCGAATGCCTGTCTCCATAACCAAGCCTTCACCTGTTTCCTAAATGTCAGGATAGACGGGGTGGTTCTGATCTCCATTGGGAGAGAGTTCCAGAGTCGAGGGGCCACCACCGAGAAGGCCCTGTCCCTCGTCCCCACCAGACGCGCTTGTGAGGCCGGTGGGACCGAGAGCAGGGCCTCTCCAGACAATCTTAATAATCTTGGTTCATAGGGGAGAATACGTTCAGAGACTCTTTCAACTATGGATGGTACGCATTCACAAATCAAATTACAAATTCATTTATTATTTATTTACTATATTTATATACCGCCTTTCTCACCCCAGGGGGTGGACTCAGGGCGGGTTACAACATACTAATGGCAAAAATTCAATGCCAGCATGCATTATTTATTTATTTATTTACTTACTTACTTACTTCATTTGTATACCGCTCTTCTCAGCCCTTAGGTGACTCAGATAGATAAAACTATACCTATAAATTAAATCGTTAAAACCACCCCATGATTCCACAGCATTGAGCCATGGCACTTCAGCTGTTTCAAATGAATTGATTATAGATAGTTCTACATTTTCTCAGAAATTCAGTGTTTTGATGTTGCATCTTCCAGACCATCCGAAGGATGAAAAAAGTCCAGATCCCAGTCACTCGGACAGATCCAGACCCAGTGTCTGAAAACGACGAGGACAGCTACGAAGAGGACATGCACGACCCAAGGAGTTCCCGCGGTGCTGCGAGTGCAACCCGGAGGCACGAGAAAAGCTGGGTGAGGGACCGAAGTGCAAGCAGAGAGAGGAGTTTGTCGCCAAGATCCGACCGGAGATCGGTCAGCTCCAATCAACCCGCAAAGCCCACAAAGGTCACGTTGGTCAAATCGAGGAAGAATGAAGGTATGGTGCCATTTCAGAAAGAACCTGATTGAAGGGCTTTCCCCAATCCAATTCATATGTTTGCTAAATTTCATTTTTCTGTCCACCCAAGTGCTCCCAATGTATACAGGACCCTTGGTTTTCGCTTGGATTTGATTCTAGGCTCCTCATAGATACCAAATCCACAGATGTTCAAGTCCCATTATATACAATGGTGTAGTAAAATAGAGTCCTGTAGGTAAAATAGCAAAATTAACACTTGCATTTGATTTTTTAGAGGGTAATATTTTCAAACTGTGGATGGTTGAATCCGTAGATGCAGAATCAATGGATACAGGGGACCAACTATATAATAAAATGGATGTAAAACACTTTTAAAGGCAGGTGAAATACTATTTCAGAAGCCAATTTTAAACCAATTTCAACAACCAAACTTCATGCAGAATAATTCAGAAAGTCAACTGGGATTGAGTTGAGCTAGCCTCCCATGGGACTAATTTCTACAATCCTAGAAGGTTTTGTCTATCTTACTTTATATGGCTGCTTTTTGGTATTTTGGTATAAAGACGTTTCTGACAGTAGTATCTGAAGATTAAGTGTCCCATTAATGCAAAACTAAACCACCTGGGTTCTTCGTGGGTTTTTTTTTTCAAAAACCCAATCCTGCCTTGATTAGAATTAAAATTTTCTACTAACTCTTTGTCAGAAATTAACTAAGTATTTTTAATTACAAAAATGTGAGTCAAGCACTGACAGGGTTAAATTGATGCCATGACTGCAGTTCTATATAAGCAGGTGTGCCTGTAGCTTAGTAGTCGTCAGTCTGAGGTCAGTCTGAGGTCAGTCTGAGGTCAGTCTGAGGTCAGGTAAACCTCAGTGGGGGAAAGACCTTAGTCTGTGAGGTAGGCCTCACACTGTGAGAAGGCCAAGTGTGAGAAAGCTTGGTGTGAGAAGCTTCAGTGAAAGAAGCCCCAAGTTGTAGGCCTCATGTGTAAAGCCTCATGTGCAAAGCTCCAGTATAAAGGCTATTGTGTGAAGATCCAGTGTAAGTTCGTTGTGAGAGGAGGCTCTGAGAGAGTGAAGCTGTTGATCTACATGAGGAGGAGATAAACATGGAAGCAAAGAAGGAAGTATAAAAAGCTTTATTTGTGTTGTGGAAACCTTGTTCTTGTAAATAGTGCAACTATATTATTTTACTATTATTTATTTATCTATTTAATTATAATTATGCACAATGGAGGACCTTCTTGCAGCAACACCAGAGGCACTCCAAGTGACCAGCTACTGGTCAAAGGACATTTAATCCACTACCAAGTTTTCAAACGTTGTGTTTTGTTTGTTTGTTTGTTTTTTAATGCAATACAACTGTTTAGTTCGCTCCTGACACGATAAATAAATAAATCACTTTAGGCTACTGGTACTGGGTCACACTGCTGCTAATAAGTTACTCTGCTGTACATTTATGAGTAGAGTCTTTAGTTAATAAGCCCACTCACCCAACGAGGGTTATGGGCCCAGTATAACCCAGTCTAGACCAGTACAAACCATATTGAGGCTGAAGAAATATGGCAATGTCATTTCAAGAAAAGAAGAACTACCAAAAGTTTGATGAAGCTGATTCAGGAAAAAAGTACCCATCAAAACGTGGTCTTGAGCATTGATGCAGCAACTGCTTGCAGTAGTAAATGTATTGTGGCCAACAGAACAGAAATGTGGTCATTCACAGTGTATTTACAAACACAACAACTGTATAAGTTCTGAGAAGAAGTTTATAGGAAAGAGCAAAATGGCTTTGTCCTTTATTTCACATTTTCCCTCCCACCAACTTAATGTTTTGATGCAAGTTGGGAAATTTTTGTTTACCTGAATGGAAGGGTGATGGCAATTTAGCCCACGGATACGGCTGGCAGACACTTGGGTTTTTCTGATTGCTGTTCCTCCGAGAATGAATTTGCAAAACAATCTTGCCGTATAACCATTCCTCAATTATACAGATGACTGCAGACTCTCAGTTAATGACCTGGGAGTCAATCTCGCAGCAGTGTTTTGCATACCAGTTTGGGAGCGTACTAAACTAATTATGCAAATTGGGGATCCAGAGCCATTCAGAATGGAGCGTTGCATTGTTAGGTAACAGCGCGATACCCCTGCCTTCTGGCTGGATGTTCCTAGATCCGTAAAATCTTCACAGCACATTTGGTTCCCCCCAACCTCTTGAAACTTCTTTGTCGTTTGAAAAATGTAAATCTAAAACTAGTCATTTGTATGCATGGGATATCATTCTGTATGAAGCACAGAAAGCAATGGATACAAGCCTTTGCCAAGGGGATGTGCGTGTCAGTGCCTTCAGGTTAATAGTCAACTTACGACAACCCCATCCATTTCTTAGGTAAAGATAACTCTTATTTATTTATTTATCATGTCAGGAGCAAACCAAATAGTTGTATTGCATTTTTTAACAAACAAACAGGCAAACAAACAAAACATAAAGTTTGCAAGCTTGGTAGTTGATTAAATCTCCGTTGACCAGTAGCTGGCCACTTGGAGTACCTCTGGTGTTACTATAAGAAGGTCCTCCATTGTGCATGTGGCAGGGCTCAGGTTGCATTGCAGCAGATGGTCTGTAGTTTGTTCTTCTCCACACTCGCATGTCATGGATTCCATTTTGTAACCCCATTTCTTAAGGTTGGCTCTGCATCTCGTGGTGCCAGAGCACAGTCTGTTCAGCGCCTTCCAAGTCGCCCAGTTTTTTGTGTGCCCAGGGGGGAGTCCCTCATCTGGTATCAGCCATTGATTGAGGTTCTGGGTTTGAGCCTGCCACTTTTGCTGAGGTGTTCCAGCGAGTGTCTCTGTAGATCTTAGAAAACTATTTCTTGATTTAAGTCATTGTCATGCTGGCTGATACCCAAACAAGGGATGGGATGGAGATGTCTCTGCCTTGGTCCTTTCACTATTGGTTGCTACTTCCCGGCGGATGTCAGATGGTGCAATACGGGCTAAACAGTGTAATTTCTCCAGTGGTGTAGGGTGCAGACACACCGTAATAATGGGGCATGTTTCATTAAGAGCCACATCCACTGGGTATGCGTGTGTGTGGTCCTTTCACTATTGGTTGCTCCTTCCCGGCAGATGTCAGGTGGTGCAATACCGGCTAAACAATTTATCCAATGGTGTAGGGTGCAAACACCCCGTGATAGTGCAGCATTTCTTATGAAGACCCACATCTACTGTTTTAGCGTGGTGAGATGTGTTCCACACTGGGCATGCATACTCAGCAGCAGAGTAGCAAAGCGCAAGGGCAGATGTCTTCATTGTGTCTGGTTGTGATCCCCAGGTTGTGCCAGTCAGCTTTCGTATGATATTGTTTCTAGCACCCACTTCTTGCTTGATGTTCAGGCAGTGCTTCTTGTAGGTAAGAGCACGGTCCAGAGTGACTCCCAGGTATTTGGGTGCGCTGCAATGCTCCAGTGGGATTCCTTCCCAGGTTATTCTCAGAGCTCGGGATGTTTGTCTGTTCTTAAGGTGAAAAGCACATGTCTGTGTTTTAAATAGATGAGGGATCAGCTGGTTTCCCCTGTAACAGGCAGTAAGAGCACCTAGAGCTTCAGAGAGCTCCTGTTCAGCTATTTCAAAGTTCCCAGCTTGAGTGGTGATGGCATGATCGTCAACATAGATGAAACTTCTGACACTGGCTGGTCATTTGTGTAAATATTGAACATGGATGGAGCAAGAACGCTCCCCTGAGGCAGGCCGTTCTTCTGTTTCCGCCATCTACTTCTCTGGCTCTGGAACTCAACAAAAAAGCTCCTGTTTTGTAGCAGGTTTCCTATGAGGCGGGTGAGGTAGTAGTCCTTTGTGATATTATACATTTTTCTCAGGAGGAGGCCGTGGTTCACAATGTCATAAGCCACTGACAGGTCTATGAAGACAGCTCCTGTGATCTGCTGCCTTTCAAATGTGCTGGGTCAGGTTCAGCACTTGCAATGTGCAGCTTTTGCCTTTCCTGAAGCCAGCTTGCTGTGGAATCAGACAGGGGTCTATTTTTTCCATAATTCTATGCAAAATAAGTCTCTCCAGAACTCCGTAAAGACTGCATAACTTTGTAAAGATGGCAGAATACTGGTTATACACCACAACACTTTTTCTAATTCAGGTTTTCTTTTGAGAGCAAATAAAGTTTGCAAAAATATATGCGGCTTTGCACAAAGTGTATTTTTCATGAAGGATAGAAAACCTGCATGAAATCCCAGAGAGCTGCTCTCAATCACAATAGACAGCCATTGGCTAAAAGAGACAGTGTTCTGACTATATGTTGTCGAAGGCTTTCATGGCTGGAATCACTGGGTTGCTGTACGTTTTTCAGGATGTATGTCCGTGTTCCAGAAGCATCCTCTCCTGACGCTTCGCCCTCATCTTTGACAGGCATCCTCATAGGTTGAGGGGTCTCTTGGAAACTAAGTAAGTGAGGTTAATATATCTGTGGAATGTCCAGGGTAGGAGAAAGAACTCTTGTCTGCTTGAGGCACGTGTGAATGTGGCAATTGGCCACCTTGATTCTAATGGCCTTGCAGTTTTCATGGCCTGGCTGCTTCCAGCCTGGCGGAATCCTTTGTTGGGAGGTGTTAGCTGGCCCGGATTGATTTCCCTGCTTTTTGAGTGTTCCTCTTTATATACTGCCCAAAAAGCAGGGGAAATCCAGACAAGAATCAATCAAGGCCAGCTAATACCATCCAAAAAAGTTTTCAAGACCTGGCTTGTTGCTGCCTGGAACCATGATGGCGAACCTGACACTCAGCACTGACACTCGTAGCCATTTTCGATGACAAACGGTCGCATGCGGCCGCATACAGAGAAGTTGGGGCTCCATCCCAAGAAGGACATTTCATCCTCGGCTCCTACACCAGCATTTTTCTATAATGCTGAGATATATGGTATTATAGAAAAAGCAGGTAAGTTAAATAATTAGTTTTTGGTTTATTAAATACAGTTATATATTACAATAATATATTTTTGTTATTAAACTATAAATATCATGAAATTATGGGGGGTTTTTTCTCGAAGTGACACCGCACCCGAGTTATGCTCGTTTTTTTGGCAAGTATTGACACACCAAGCTCAAAAGATTGCCCATCATTGGCCTAGAGGAATCCTTTGTTGGGAGGTGTTAGCTGGCTCCAGTTGATTCTTGTCTTTTAGGACAGTACATAAAGAGGGAAACTCAAAAAGCAAGGAAATAAAACAAGGCCAGCAAATACCTCCCAACAAAGGATTCTGAGGGAATCCTTTGTTGGGAGGTGTTAGCTGGCCCTGATTGATTCCCCTGCTTTTTGAATGTTCCTCTTCATATACTGTCCAAAAAGCAGGGGAAATCCAGACAAGAATCAATCAAGGCCAGCTAACACCATCCAAAAAAGTTTTCAAGACCTGACTTGTTGCTGCCTAGAGGAATCCTTTGTTGGGAAGTGCTAGCTGGCTCAAGTTAATTCTTGTCTTTTAGGACAGTACATAAAGAGGAAAACTCAAAAAGCAAGGGAATAAATCAGGGCCAGCTAATACCTCCCAACAAAGGATTCCCCCAGGCAGTAAGGAGCCAGGCCTTGAAAACTGCAAGGCCATTACATGCTTATCAAGGTGGCAAATTGCAACATTCACATGTGCCTCAAGCAGACAAGAGTTCTTCCACAGATATATAACCCTTACTTATTTTCCAACAGACCTCTGAGGCTGCCTGCCAAAGATGTGGGCAAAATGTCAGGAGAAGATGCTTCTGGAACATGGTCATACAACCCAAAAAACACACAGCAACCTAGTGTTTGACTCTTCCTGACAACAGTCTATACTCCAGGGAATAGTTTGGGAGCTGGGAAAAGTGAATTTCTCAGGAGTGCTGGCCTTGGAGAAGAGAGAGAAAGAACACCCCCAAAGGCTTGCTCTTGATTCACCATTTCTTTGTTTATTTCCCCCCCTCTTTGTCGCAGAATACGGGTTGCGCCTTGCCAGCCACATATTTGTGAAGGAAATCTCCCAAGATAGCCTGGCAGCAAGAGACGGCAACATTCAGGAAGGTGACGTTGTACTAAAGGTACAGTAAATGCCTCCCACCCTTCCTCCCTCCTTCTGCTTTTTGCTTAGTGAAAGAGAGAAGCATCTTGAACTTTAAGTAACTTCTCTCCTGGAAAGTTGATTAGTTGGAAAGGCTTCTCTTCTCCCGCTCTGTTCGCTGGAAGAGAATATTTTTTTAAACGGCTAAGTATGTAACTAAATATGGGAAAGCAGCAGAGTTTGCTAAGTCATGCTGGTAAGGTGGGATGCGTGGAAGAGACCTCCGTGAGCTAAATCATCCCACCTGACAGATATGACTCCCTTGCTGGCAGTTTGGAGCAGCATCTCCCCGGCAGAACTCTTAATCCCGTTGATACAATTAAGGCATTGGGGGGCGGGGTTCCGGATTATAATTTGAAAAAAAAGAAAAGAATGAATTCCTATGCACAGTGCACATATCTTATTTGTAGTGCAAAAAAAGACTTAAAATTAATACAAAAATGAAAATGAAAAACTAGTTTAACAAATATAAACTTATTAGTATTTCAGTGGGAAGTGTGGGCCTGCTTTTGGCTGACGATATAGCATTGTTGTTGTTGTTGTGTTCTTTCAAGTCTTTTCAGACTTAGGTTGACCCTGAGCAAGGACTGGGTAAATGACCTAGGAGGGCCGTATTCGGTCCCTGGGCCATAGTTTGAGGACCCCTGATTTAGAGGAATAATAAATCATAATCTTAAATTCTGCACATTCAAAAGACACCTTTTGCTTCTAATTTGTTAATCCATTAGTCAAATGAACTTGATTCCCACTATTGAGTATTCGTGTAGAGTTTGGTCCAGATCCATCATTGTTTGAGTTCACAGTGATCTCTCGATGTAGGTGAACTACAACTCCAAAACCAAAGGACACTGCCCACCAAACCCTTCCAGTATTTTGTTGGTCATGGGAGAACTGTGTGCCAAATTTTGGTTCAATTCCATCATTGGTGGGGTTCAGAATGCTCTGTGATTGTAGGTGAACTATAAATCCCAGCAACTAACACTCCCAAATGTAAAGATTCTATTTTCCACAAAATCCACCTGTGTTCACATTTGGGGATATTGAGTATTCGTATAGAGTTTGGTCCAGATCCATCATTGTTTGAGTCCACAGTGATCTCTGGATGTAGGTGAACTACAACTCCAAAACCAAAGGACGCTGCCCACCAAACCCTTCCAGTATTTTGTTGGTCATGGGAGAACTGTGTGCCAAATTTGGTTCAATTCCATCATTGGTGGGGTTCAGAATGCTCTTTGATTGTAGGTGAACTATAAATCCCAGCAACTACAACTCCCAAATGACAAAATCAATTTTTGTGAGTGAAGGACGTGTTTCTCAACCTCCCTAGACCCCATAATACAGTTCCTCATGTTGTGGTGGCCCCCAACCATAAAATTATTTTTGTTACTACTTCATAACTATAATTTTGCTACTGTTATGAATCTTAACGTAAATATCTGATAGGCAGGATGTTTTTTCATTCACTTGACCAAATTTGGCACAAATACCCAATACACCCAAATTTGAATATTGGTGGGGTTCACCAATGATGGAATTGAACCAAGCTTGACACACAGAACTCCCATGACCAACAGAAAATACTGGAAGGGTTTAGTGGGCATTGACCTTGAATTTTGGAGTTGTAGTTCACCTACATCCAGAGAGCACTGTATACTCAAACAATGATGGATCTGGACCAAACTTGGCACGAATACTCAATATGCTCAAATGTGAACACTGGTGGAATTTGGGGAAAATAGACCTTGACACTTGAAAGTAGTAGTTGCTGGGGAATTATAGTTCGCCTACAATCAAAGAGCATTCTGAACCCCATCAAGAATAGATTGGGTCAAACTTCCCACACCGAACCCCCATGACAATCAGAAAATACTGTGCCCAAAAGTGAACACTGGTGGAGTTTTGGAAAATAGATATTTGGGAGTTGTAGTTGCTGGGATTTATACTTCACCTACAATCAAAGAGCATTCTGAACTCTACCAACGATAGAATTGGGCCAAACTTCCCACACAGAAACCTCATGACCAACAAAAAATACTGTTTTTTCTGATTGTCTTTGGTGACCCCTTTGACACCCCCTCGCGACCACCACAGGGGTCCCGACCCCCAGGTTGAGAAATGCTGAGCTAGAAGGATGCACAATTGCTCCCGTGCTTTGGAGCATGTCTGTCGAGAAATTTTGAGCACCCAGAACTTTGTTTCAGAGTTTGGGAAAAATAGACCTTGACACTTGGGAGTAGTGGTTGCTGTGGATTTATAGTTCACCTACAATCAAAGAGCATTCCGAACCCCACCAATGATAGAATTAGGCTAAACTTCCCACACCGAACCACCATGACCATCAGTGAACACTGGTAGAGTTTGGGAAAAATACACTTGACATTTGGGAGTTGACTGATAATCAAAGAGCATTCTGAACCAATTGGGCCAAACTTCCCCCATAGAACCCCTATGACCAATAGAAAATACTGTGTTTTCTGATGGTGTGTGGCGACCCTTCTGATAACCCCAAGTGACACCTCTAGGGGTCCTGACCCCCAGGTTGAGAAACACTGGAATAAACAAAACAAAGCAGTTGTCCAAAGGAGGCCATTGTTTCTGGAAAATAAATTCCTAGATTCCTCTTTCTTAAGTATTTTCTTTTATAGGACTGTTTTGCAAGTATCTCCTTCAGTTTAGTCTGTGTTGTAAGATTTGTCATCTTCTGTTTTTGTTTCTCATTGTGAAATAGCTGTGTAACTTGTGAAAGCCAGAACCGGGCTAGGAGACGTTACCCCCTCCCCTCCCCCAGCTTTAAAGATGCCATTTCACTTCCCATTCGGTGCCTATCAGTAGTCCTTTTGCTCTGTTGCAGATAAACGGAACAGTCACGGAAAATATGTCATTGACAGATGCCAAGACCCTAATAGAAAGGTCAAAGGGCAAGTTGAAGATGGTGGTTCAAAGGGATGAGCGAGCAACCCTGCTGAATGTCCCAGATCTTTCTGATAGCATTCATTCGGCTAATGCTTCAGAAAGAGATGGTGAGTATCGATGCTTTTCCTTTTGGGGGGATGGAATGGGGGAAGGAGGTGGGGGTCCAGAACAGAAAGCGAGGGGTGGGGATGTTATCTGATTTGGTGTAAACATCTGGTCCTCATAACCTCACGTTTTTAATATTGCCACGGTTTCCCCAAAAGTGTCAAACTATGTATTGAAAATTATTTGGGAAAGGAGGGGTATAGACAGACAGCCCCAAGTACACTCCACATAGAAGCTTATTTCCATTTTGGGGCAGGTTCATGCCATCCTTTTGATTATAATTTGAATTCTGAGTCATCTCATTGAACAACAATCCAACTTTTATTTAACAGACATTTCAGAAATTCAGTCGTTGGCATCCGATCATTCCAACCGATCCCATGACAGGCCCCGCCGCAGTCGTTCACGATCTCCTGACCAGAGGTCAGAGCCTTCAGACCATTCCAGACATTCTCCACAGCAGCCCAGCAATGGCAGGTGATGGTAGCCTTGTACTCTTTTTTTTATTTTTTCCAAAAATGGGATTTGGGGTTGGTTCGTTGTAGCGAAAGGTGCATGGCACCATAACTCTGTCGTTGCATGATGCAGCCGCTCGACACGTCAAGAAGCATGGCAAGCACGGACAAGCGCCAAGCCGAGAAATGCGGAATGACTGCTTCGTGTTTTGTGTCTATGTGTGTATGGTGTCACTCCGTGGGCAGAGACCATGGTGAAAATGGCTTCTCTGTAGCATGATGGGTAGAAGGTGCAAGTTTGGGTGTCCACTGTCATTGTGTTGCGTGTGCACACTGAGGTATTGGCAAAGGGTGTCAATTTCAGCCCCTTTTTTTCCTACTCTTGCCCTCAGGAGCATTTCAGAAATTGCGTACAAGAATGAATAATTTCAAAATAAATTCCCTGCTGGAAACCAAGAATAACAAGATAAAATTGATTAGGATGATGGAGGGTGGGAGTCTAACAGTGGGCTGCCCATTGAATTAAAGTATTTAGAGATTGTAGTTAGGATGCCATTGGTGAAGGAAACTGACTATAAGCTGAGCCTTTTTAGTAATAGCACAAACACTGTTGAATGGGTTGTTGTGAGTTTTCCAGGCTGTGTGGCCATGCTCCAGAAGCATTCTCTCCTGACATTTCACAGGCATCCTCGGAGGTTGTGAGGTTGGAATCTAGGAAAATGGTTTTTATATATGCACCGGGATTGTGGTGCAGCTGGCTGGGAGTCAGCTGCATTAAGATCACTACTGACTGAAAGGTCATGAGTTCGAAGCCAGCCCAGGTCGGAGTGAACTTGCTGTCGACCTTTGCAGCCCGAAGACAGTTGCATCTGTCAAGTAGGAAATTTAGGTACCGCTTATGCGGGGAGGCTAATTTAACTAATTTATGAGGCCATAAAAATCCCCAGCAGGCATGCAAAGAATGAGGAAGTACTTCTACAGTGTCACAAATGATCAGTGAAGGGACATCTCCCCTGGTGGCCAGAATACCCTCAAGAAAAGCTGGAATGTTAAATTGCCTTTGTGTCTGTCTATATATGTTGTTCGTCTATGCCAGGGGTCCTCAAACTTTTTAAACAGAGGGCCAGGTCACAGTCCCTCAAACTGTTGGAGGGCCGGATTATAATAAAAAAAACAAACATGAATTCCTATGCACATTGCACATACCTTATTTATAGTGCAAAAACACTTTAAAACTATAAAATAATTAAAATGAAGAACAATTTTAACAAATATAAACTTATTAGTATTTAAATTGGAAGTGTAGGCTTGCTTTTGGCTGATGAGATAGGATTGTTGTTGTTGTTGTGTGCTTTCAAGTCATTTCAGACTTAGGTTGACCCTGAGCGAGGGCCGGTTAAATGACCTTGGAGGGCCGTATCTGGCCCCTGGGCCTTAGTTTGAATACCCCTGGTCTATGGCATTGAATGTTTGCCATGTATATGTACATTGTAATCCACCCTGAGTCCTCTGCGGAGTGAGAAGGGCAGAATATAAATACTGTAAATAAAATAAAATAAATAAATATATCTGTGGAATGTCCAGGGTGGGAAAAATAACTCTTGTCAGTTTGAGGTAGGTGTGAATGTTTCAATTGGCCACCATGATTAGTATTTAATAGCCTAGCAGTTTCAAGGTTTGGCTTCTTACCGCCTGGGGGAATCCTTTATTGGGAGGTGATTAAGATGCCTGCCATAGATGCAGGCAAAATGTCAGAAGAGAATGCTTCATAGCCACACAGCCTGGAAAACACACAACAACCCAGTGATTCCGGCCATGAAAGCCTTTGACAATACACTGTTGGATGCTTACAGTGGATTATCTTTGCTAGGCACTCAAGCCTTAATATAGTAATCTGAGATTCACTTGCAAAGATAGTCCATTTTAGCAATTGGTTGCTAATTGCTGTCATTATGGCATTGTATTTTCATGCTCCTGCTGGACTTTTCCCCCTCTGTTTTACAATTTTGTTCAGGTTGTAGGATGGTTTTTATTGATTGTAAATTGCTAGCTAACTTTGGGAGAAAAGCAAGAGATAAAATTAAAGTATTGATCATTCTTTAAAAAAACAAACCCTTGACCTGCCTGATTACCTGCAGTGCTTCAGTCCACTATTGGGAAAGTTAGTCTGGGTCTTGCTGAGCTAAGCTGTTCTGGTGGCACTGTTTTGTTTTGTTTTTTGTTTGATTTGTTTTGTTTTTTGAGGTCTTACATTTTCTGGAGTGGAACTTTTTTATTCATTTCTTGGATTGTCTAAAGCAGTGGTTCACAACCTTTTTTTTGACCAGGACCACTCTCTAACATTAGTACCAAAAGGGTCACGAATCACCTTATGATCAACTTTGGATTCAGTTTGGTTATATGGGGTGCTCATTCGGAAAATTGCATTGGATAGACCACATCAGCTCTAGCTTCTGATACAGAACATATGCCACCCAGTATTTATTTATGTATTTATTTATTTATGATATTTATATGCCGCCCTTCTCATGCCAAAGGGGACTCAGAACAGCTTAAAAGTTATATGTACATACAATATATTACATTATTATCATATTAATATTATATATTACTATATTGTACTATACGACTATACTGCAATATCATTAGTACTATTACATGTAATATAAAATATAATTATTATATTATTATATTGTATTATTATATTGTATTACAATATTATAATCAATATTATATGTACATACAATATATTATAATGATGAGCATACCACAATCCTATAATGTATTGCATCACTATACTGCAATGTTATTAGTAATATTACATTTAATATATAGCACACAATTATTTTATTGTATTATTATTAGTATGAAGGCCTTCTCAAACAGGTTGGTTCATGAGCTTGTTGGTGTCCTTCAGATAAAGTGAATTCAATACACTGAGGTTTTTGACAGTCAAGAGCAGTGAGTGGTCTTCTCAAACAGCTGGTTCCTGAGCTTGTTGGTGTCCTTCAGATAAAGTGAACTCAATACATTGTGGTTTTTGAAGGTCAAGAACAATTAGTCATCTTCTCAAACAGCTGGTTCATGAGCTTGTTGGTGTCCTTCAGATAAAGTGAACTCAATACATTGAGGTTTTTGAAGGTCAAGACCAGTGAGTAGTCTTCTCAAACAGCTGGTTCATGAGCTTGTTGGTGTCCTTCAGATGAAGTGAACTCAATACATTGAGGTTTTTGAAGGTCAAGAGGATTGGTTCCCAACCTGTGGTCTGTGGACAACCAGTAGTCCGCAAGAACTAATGGTCCACAGCCTCACTGTTAATATGGTGTTGCAACAAGAATGACTGGTCATGCAAAACCCTCTTATAGTGCAGAGGCTTATGGTTTTCTGTGGACGAGCAGATGGCGACAACTGGGTGGCATATGTTCTGTATCAGAAACTAGAGCTGATGTGGTCTACCAAATGCAGTTTTCTGAATCAGCACCCCAAATCACCAAACTAAATCTAAAGTTGACCAAAAAAACGATTCGTAACCCTTTRGGTACTAATATTGGAGAGTGGTTACCTTGGCAGCCACCTCTCCACCAAAGTCAACATCGACYCCGAAATACAACACCGCCTGAGTTCTACGAGTGCAGCATTTTTCCGAATGAAGCAGAGAGTGTTTGAGGACCGGGACATCCGTAGGGATACCAAAGTGCTTGCTTATAAAGCTATTGTCCTCCCAACCCTGCTATATGCCTGCGAAATGTGGACTGTCTACAGACGTCACATGCAACTCCTAGAACTATTCCGTCAGAGCTGCCTCCGGAAAAACCTGCAAATCTCTTGAGAAGACAAGCGGACAAATGTTAGCATGCTGGAAGAAGCAAAGACCACCAGCACTGAAGCGATGGTCCTCCGCCATCAGCTCCTKTGGCCCTGCCACGTTGTCCGGATGCCTGACCACCATCTGCCAAAGCTGTTGCTCTACTCTGAACTCAAGAATAGAAAGCAGAATGTTGGTGYACAGGAAAAGCGATTTAAAGATGGGCTCAAAACCAACCTTAAAAACTCTGGCATAGACACTGAGAACTGGGAAGCTCTGGCCTGTGAGCGCTCCAGCTGGAGGTCAACTGCGACCAMCAGTACTGCAGAATTTGAAGAGGGACGAATGGAGGGAGAAAGAGAGAAACATGCCAAAAGAAAGYTGCGTCAAGCCAAGCCAGTCCGGGACCGCCTTCCACCTGGAAACCGATGCCCTCACTGTGGGAGATGATGCAGATCAAGAATAGGGCTCCACAGTCACCTACGGACCCACCTTGGAGGATTATCCTACTTGGACGACGAGGGATCCCCTAAGTAAGTAAGGAGAGTGGTCCCTGGTCAAGTGGTCAAAAAAGGGTTGGGACCCATTGGTCAAGAGGAACATTTCCAGTAAAAGAACTGTCACAGAACGGGCATCCAAAAGGATCAATCCAGGTGTCTGCATTCTTTCCCATCAAAAGTTTGTAGAGGCAACCCCATACTTTCAGGAGAGAGCTTTGCTTCCTTGTAAAACTGCTGACTGCTAGTCTCGGAAGGTGACAAGTAAAGCTTCCCACCAGATTTTAATGCTTTATGAAAGGAGCAGAAAGTGGACGGGGCCCGGATGTCACTCACATTTCTTTTTAAAGGCTCTGAAAGCGCAGGGAGATCAAATTGATGCCTTGTGTGTCGGAAGGGTGTGTGTTTTGAACAGCAGGCGTCTGGGAAGAGACGAGCCGCCCCTAATGAAACAAACATGAAGCTGACTTCACCCTTTTTTGTGTGTGTGTGACTGAAGGTTATTTTAAAATGTTGCGGTGTTAAGCATCCTTTTTTTTAAAAAACAGTCCCTTCCTGACACAGCACAGATGTTAAGAAGGAAAAGCAGAAGACATGCGCAGCGAAATAACACCTTTGATGACTCAAGGGGAATGCAGCTGTAATTTTTCACAACATTCTGTTACCTAGGAACAGTGACAGTGTCAAGACACTTCCTGAAACTTCTTTTGGAGAGGAAAA